ATAATAATAACGTGTGTTAAAATGAAATAATCTAGGATATAAAATTCAAGGTCAGGTTTCCAGTCTAATTTTGGCCTGTTGCTTCGATACGCCAGCAACAAACGCACTAATCTTGGTTTCAAGACGTTAATGCTTGAAAGCGGACACCGTGCATAGTGCACCGTGCGCCCCCAACGACTCATAATTATACGTGCGCCAGTTAGTAAGAGTAATGAAAACTAGTTGTGTGAGGGCGCTCTTCAACAGCAATAAAACAACCAACGATCACTGACGTCTTGGGCCAAGACTACAAACGCACTAGATACATAACGTTTCAGCTGTATTAAGCCCGCCTGCGTATTTTTTATTTACACCGTAGCCTTGGTTTTTGCTGTGGTGGTGCTAATTCGCGCTTGAAAAGAGACTAGTGCTAAGCGCGTGTACCCGAGCATGTGATTAAACATGGGGGTGGAAACATGACAAAAACTTTTCTGAATATTGCCGTTGTTGAGAAAGTCCAAAGGGTTTCAATTCATGTCACTAAAAATTGGAAGACGTTTTGTTATTCCAGGGCCTTAACTGCTGCTAAATGTCAAGTGAGAGCTCCGCTAGGGTCTTGGCACGCTCTACGTGAACAAACCGAACGTGACCTCGTGCGACCAAAATACTAGGCTCACAGCTAGTTTTCATTTAGTCTTTCGCCGTTTCCCTTCTTCCATGCTTCAAATGCACACAAGCATGGGTAAACCCAGGATTCGAATTTTGGACGTTATCCTTTGTTGTTCTGTATAGTGTGTAGCCAGCAGTATTTTTTAATATTGGGAATCTTTTCAGTTACCGTATAAGCATTCAATGAGACGCACTTTGCTTCAAAGCCATAAAGTGTCTGCTTATTCGACTCTGCAAATACCGTCTGTGTAAGCTGATTTGAACAAACTTAGAGGAAATGACGCAGACGAGGTTGCACTCAAGGCTATCCAAGACCAACCTGAACATGTTTCAAGAAACAAATTTAGAAATTTTGATTTTTTTAAATGGAAAATAAGAAGAAGAAGAAAAAAACACCTGAAATGAGAGAGACGAAAGAGGTGGAAATCTCAAGCTGCTTGAAAATATATGTAATCCTCACTAATGACCCCTCACTAATAAATTGTTTATATGTCTGTCATATCGTACTTAATAATAATGCTAAAAACATTAGCAAACGGAACTAAACACACGCTTGTGACCCGTTACATTGAAATCAGGAATATGTCGCAAATTCATTTTTGAGATATGTATATGGTCAGAAAAAGAATTTCCTAAGCTTTCAAATGGTACACGTTATAAGTGTCTTGATAGTAACCTTTCATGTATACACTTCCAAATATACAGAAACCGCCACATCGTTTTTTGTTTTCTTTTCAACATTTTACCCACACCCCCTTTGTCCTCGGCCATGACATAAAACGGCCTCAGTCCGAGTCATCAGCGACTTATTCCTGCCATTACGATGTATCGGGTCACATTATTTGTCGAAATATGAAAGGGCTGCGTAGCACTGTGGTCAGAATATTGACAAGAATATAATATATAATCATTGCTCTGAAATATGTAATTGCCAAAGAGCAGTCGTGCTCTGTATTTATGTACAGGTTGTTTCGTGTTTTCGCGCGCTCGCGCCGATCGCCCTGGCAGCACTAGTCTCTTTTCAAGTGGGAATAAGCACCACCAGAGCGAAAAATCCTAGGCTACGGTGTAAATAAATAGCCCGCCAATAGTCGTGCATGCAAGCTGGTTCGACAGACAGATTTTTGTGAACTGAAAATGTTGCCGGTAATCGCTGGTATTGGCACTGGTACGTATCTCCTGTACGCAGAGGTCAATTTGTTATATTCAGGATGAAATACCTCTCGTTTGTCTCCAATGACAAAAAAGAAGTGGAATTGATCATGAAAAACAGTAGCGTTTCTTGTTGTAGGGGTGTGAATGGTGTGGTCACTCTGAGTCATTTGTCTCCAGTGATGGTGTTGCCCCTTGAAGGGATTGTAGTTAGGCTAGGCCCTGTACTTATACTTTATAGGCCTACTTAAAGTAGTACGCCTAGGTAGTCAGAACAGAAGCATGCTGGGCCCATTTTACTTTAGTAACGTTAGGCCAAACGTCTTGGCCATAGGGCCTAGGCCCCTAATGTTAGGACCTAGGCTAGATTATTTTTTTTGAAAGATGCTCCTCCCCAGCAGACTATCCTCGTGATCCAGTTACACTCAGTGGAAAAACCCTATGAAAATCTGACTGGTTGAAAACATTCTGTTTTCTATTTATGATGTAAGCCCCTAGGCCTAGGTACAGAAGCGTGTAAGGGCCACTTGCAAAAATCATTTTTTCAAGTTAGGCATGTTAGGGCCTACTATCTCCCCGTGGTCAGTTACTATCTTGCCGTTGCAAGTTATTATCTCATTGTGGTGAACAGGCGAGTTAGGCCTGGGCCATGTAGGCCTACATGTAGGTGAATGTGTATCTCGCAGCGGCGAGTTAGGCCTATACGATCTTGCCGCAGCATTAAATTGAAATCCTGCCTCTTCAAGTACATCACACTAGATGATTAGCCTAGCCTAACCTTATTTAGCATGTCGTCATACCCAGATGTATAATCAAGGTAGAATGCAGCGAAATTGTGTTTCAGATTGCTTTAAGCAAAGCTTTATTCCACCAAGGTGTGGGATAGACTACTGTCGAAAGGATTACGATACCTTTTCATTTATGCTTGTACAAATCCTATTTAGTATTCGCATAAGCACCGCGAGGGGGGACCCTGAAAGGAAAAAAAAGCCAAAGAAATGAAAATTTGAAGTAAAATTTAACATAGGCCAACTTATATGCTTTAGATAGAACTGAAAGAAAATCGACTTTCATCCTACAGTTAAATGTCATTGTTTAATGAGACGGTTTCCCCCCACTGAAAAATTCTGGCAACGCCCATGTATATTTTTAGCCGATGTGTGTTGCCATTTTGGACCAAGCCTCGATGTTGATATCATTCTAACATTAAAATTTGAGTTCACTTGTCACAAACCACCCACACAGCGCAGGGTGTTGGGAAGGGCAATTTTTTTGTTGACAACTTATTGGATGGAGTCTATATTAACATCTGAACATGGTTGATACTTCTGGCACAGTGCACGTGATACTTGTACACTGTATTTAGAGATTAGGGCTCTAAGTAACCTAAAATGCTTCGAGCGTCCAAAGCTGTGAGGTATTTCATGTGTTGCATTTGTAAAGGTACTGTTTTTGATATTCATTTTAAGTTATAAATTAATACATTTCGACTGATGAAAGTTCAAATGTGACTTTCAGGTCTGTTTGCTTCCGTTTGGCACTTGGAAAATGTAGGAAGGAATTAAAAACAGGTTACCCCTCATCTAAATGTGGAATTCACCCCACAAAATAAGATTTTGTTTTCTTTTGTGTTGGGAAACAAGCTTTACTGAAATGTAACATCCAATTAGCAATCTAAAACCAAATCTCAATGCATTTCACCCTAAGGATACATGTACATTTCAAAACAGTGTGCTGAATAGGTTTATGAAACTGTTGAAATATTCACTGCGCCGGGATATCAATTTCACGCTGCGGCAAGATCTGAGAAGTTGCCACAGCAAGATACACATTGAACGATTTAACTCGCCAAGGCCAGATACCTATTCTGCGGTGTAATGGTTTTTTAGAGTTACTATCTTGCTGTGGTGAGGCCCCCAAAAATTGTTGCAAGTGGCCTTTATACGCTTCCATATGTAGGCCTATAGAGACATGAGCATAATGAGGGAGGCCTTGGTCTAGTCGGCCTAACTTTAATACTTCAATGTTTCCCTGCTACCCACAACTAGTAGTAGGCCTTGTAATGTACATGTAGGACCTACGTGTAGGCATACTTTTAAAGGACATGCTGGGCCTAGGCCTGCAGTAGCCCACTAACTATTCCCAGGTGGACTCCTTGACTATACTACATCATGGGCTCAACTGCGACTTTGGATCCTGGTTTTTGGTGCACTTTGTGGATATTTTTTCTTTTTGTACTTGTATGTGGCTGAGGGTTGTAATTTCTAGCCACACTCAAGTTGCTGGAGAAATTTGTTGCAAAAACAGTTAGGTCTATCTTTCAGGCCAGACTTTTAGTATCTCGGCCAGATTTTTAGTGTCACAGCCAGATTTTAGCGTCACAACTTAAAATGTTTACGTCATGGCCCTCTGTACTAAAATGCCCTTGAGAGAACACTAATATACGGTGATGCAGCGCACTGCCCATGGTGATCAGTTGGTAGTTTGATAGTGTGGAACGCGGGAGACGGTAAATCTATCCACCAGTCGTTTCTCTTTTTTTGTAACTTGGTGTTGACCATAAAGTAAGTGCACACTCATTACAAGCCAACTTATTTCAATTGACAATCTGCTCCAAGGGTCGAGTTGTCCATCCGTATGAGGCATAGATGGTTAAGTTGTCTCAACGGTCGAGCTGTCTCAGTGGTTGAGTTGTTCCAAATCACTTTAGCAAATGATCAGAGAAATATGGAATGGCAAGTCTTCTAATTGCTACTAAAAATTCACAAATCCGGAAATCCAGGCTACCCTATTGTGTCTGCTTGTAGTTGTCCCATTGAATTGATATCCAACTTCGTTGACGCTATTCTAACACCCATTGTCAAAACGCTCCCCACCTATGTCAAGGATAGTAATGATGCTCCATTTCTGTTCGATGAATTTGAGTTGCCAGGTTCATCCAACCTTCTTTTCACCATGGATGTGAAATCGCTTTACACATCCATTCCCCATGCAGGTGGTTTGCCTGCGCTCAAACACTAGATCTCCGCCAGACTCGGGATCCTCCCATCAGCAATCTGCTCCGTCTGGCTGAGTTGGTGCTCACATTGAACAACTTCATGTTCAACGGTGAACACTACATTCAGACCAGTGGTGTGGCTATGGGCACACGGATGGGACCAAGTTATGCCTGTCTGTTTGTTGGCCACATCGAGGAGCAGATGCTGACCCAGTTTCGTGGCTTGCAGGCGTTAATGTTCCTGCAATACATCAATGATATTGTTGGTGCTATCACCGGTACGTGTAATGACGTTGAGAATTTCTTAACGTTTGCAGATGCTTTTCACCCAGCACTGCGCTACACATCTGATGTATCGCAACACTATGTTACCTTCCTCGATGTGCGCGTCCAGATCTATGCGCGGAAGCTTGGCACAACCGTGCATTACAATTTCGCAGATTCCCCGCAGAAGCAGCAGTTCCCCTTGTCACCACCCCAGATGTAACACCTGCGCCTACATAGTTCAAGGCCCGTCGGTCGTCGGCCCCCGCGATAGCTACAGAATATGCGGGGATCATACATGCTGTGGTAAACTGTAAATCTGAGAGACCAAGCGTCACCTTGGTGACTGCTTCGCGGAACACTTATGCAGTGTTCGCCAACAAACACCTGGTCTCACTGTTGCGCAGCACTTTTGCGCACAGCCACATACTCTTGGTGACGTAAGCGTCTGCATTCTGTGGAAAGCGTAATCCAATGTACAACGTAAGGAACTGGAGCAGCGCGTCATTTTTGAACTTGGAATGCTGCATCCAGGGGAATGAATGTGGATTTTTCTGCATTCATTCAGAACTGAATCTGCTTGCCCTGAAGAAGGTACCCAGTTACCAAAAGCTCGGCAATCACATATGCCAGAGCACTGATTTTGTGTTAAATTCTCGGCAAATGGTCAGTTGTCCGAGCCAAATCTGCGCAGCAGGTGGGTTAAGAAATTTGACACATCATAAATAACTCGGCATTCACGTTTATTCTTGTCATTGCTGTGGACTGTCTTCAGCTGTACTCTAGCACAGTATAGTTCATACAGTACGCGTACACAATTATCTGGTGTATGAGATTCCGAGCTGCGTACACCACATAAAGCATGCACAATGTGATTCTCAGCCATGCGTATGCACAGCATCTTGGGTGAGGCTGTGGCGTGCGTTGGTGACAGTAGGCCTGTGTACCAGTACCTTCATGAAAGCTTAGTGTACGAAAGCTGAAATTTAGGATTTGTACAAATCTTGGCCATTTTTCAGCATTTACATTGCAAGCCTTTGTAGAAGGTGTCAACCGGTGGACTGACAAAAATGACAAAAGGTGTCCACAAAATGTTATAAAAGTTAAAGGACTCCCAGCATTATGCAGCAAGGCTCTTGCAAATTCCTGTCGCTAGGGGTTTACAAGTACTCATATTTGTTGTGTTGTCCAATACAGTTTTGAGGGCCAGATAAGTATTTTTTTTAATAAACAAGACTGTTGTGTTTGAGAGTCAGTGATGATTAACCATCATGATCTCTCGGGCCTTAAAATGAAAAATCAAATCTGGTGTCAATTCTTCACCAGAAAATGTTCACAAAAATATCGGAAGGCACTAAGAATTACAGAGGACTCAAAAAATACTATACATGGAAGTTTCCAGCTGCTTGACGTGAGGCATATTGAAGAAGTCCTACCGGAGGCTGGGAGTTTTAAAAGTATGCATTAAAGGGTCTATGCCAGAATTAAATTTTTTAATCTATTAAATGAGTTTTGGGGGTGTCTTTGAAACCTCTTTGTACAAATAAATGCTTTTATTTAGTCGTGAGTGGTCTACAGTATGTAAAATTAGAATTTAAAAAATTAGGAATTTAAATTTCTTATTTAATAGAGTGCGCGGTGGCGCTGTTCATGACGTTGACTCCGGAGATCAAGAGTTCAGTCAAGATGGTCTGGTACCCAGGTTGCGTTGTGGGTACCAGGCTAACATGGCAGCTGGATGCCGCGTGTGACTA